TTTCGCCATACGCGAGCCCCTGGTTTCATTGCTTCTCCCAATGGATTGGTTTTATGTATGAAGGACACCCCGTCTAAATAGAAACTGACGTCTTTTTTCCAGAAGTCTGGATTTGATTTGACAACTTTCGTCATTTTCCGTGCAAATTTAAGTCTATTTATTTTATCTTTGGCGGTTAGCACTCCCTTTTTTCGTGTCTGTCTGTGGCTGTAACCATGTTTGTTTAAACATCTGACATATGTTCTATAACTGGCCTTTTTGTACTGCAGCCCACAAAACTCTACCAACTTCTTCACCGTAAAATTAACATCTTCTTTTCTTAGTAATGTTATTCCTCTTATTAATAGTCGTTCCTGTCTGCTACTAAGAATTGGTTTTCGTCCTCTCTTTTTATACACCTTCTTACCAACCTTTTCTTTGTCGGACTTGAATCCCTCTTTTGCGAGGCGACTTGCAGAGGACTTTGCAATATTTAGTTTTTTCGCTATTTCGCCAAATGACAAACCATCCCTCTGACGTAAATAGTATGCCAGGGCTCGGTTTTTAGCATGAATTTTTCGTGTAAAAACCATGATTCTGCGGGCGTTCAGGTGAGACTTAATTAAGACGTTCTGATAATGACGTACAATAAACGCTGGTTTCGCGCTCTGATCACCATGCTCGTGCATATAACTACGTCATTTCCGTGTTTGAAATGTGACTGACTTCTACAGTAGTTATAGTAACAAAAAATACGCCTAGGTTCGGACAAATATCAATGTTTATTGGAGATATGTGAGTGTGAACTAACTACATTGTTCACTTACTCTATAAAATATTATACTACCCCTGTCCCAACGGACAGAAAACGGTTCATTTTTGGTTTTAATGCGTGAAGCAACTGTTATCACTGTGCATTTAAAAGAAGTGAGGTGCTGTTTTGTTAGGTAGCTCCTTTACCTTCGAATTTTTTTCAAAAGTAGTGCTAAACAAAGCTGTAAACATAAACTGTACTTGAATACAATCGTTGCCAAAATTGTTGGAACGTTTCGACATTTCTTTTCATTTCTTTCACACTACGCAAGAATAAATAATCGACTTCTTAAGCCCCCCTCCCCCCTCTCAATGTTGCGTGTTCCTTGCGAGTCGTCATGCATTTGAAAGCTACCTTGTCATACATCAGTAATACAGCAACATTGATTTTAAGGGGGGGCGGGGGATTTTTTAAAATAAATAACAAGAGTGGGACCTATATTTAAGTCGTCTCGTTTAGTCGTTCCAAGTAATTTTGGCAACGATTGTATGTCTCTTCAAAGTCGGATTTATATAGGAAGCTACCGTTCTGGATGTCCGCCAAKACATTTTTTTAAAGCTTAATAGATATACTTTCACTTCCAATCAGTCTTATTTGTTCCCCTGAGATGAGTATTAGACACACATTTTCGGGTCTCAGGTGATGGACTAGTTGTTTACGTTAGATTTAATAACTAAAGGGTAAGATTGTTTAAAACCTTTACCTTCATATTACAGGAATTGCATATTTGTATAATTACTAATAAACATTATAATATCATTATAA